CACCCACCCTCTACCCACCACCCCCTACCCCTGTCCACGGCCCCTCGCTTACCTCAAAGCCGGAGGATTTGTTTCTCGCACTGCGCACGGAAACAAGAGGGGAGGGCGGCGAGGAGATGGAAACAACAAAAAAAGAAGAAGAAAATTCGCATCCAAACTTATGTGGACTGCTCAATAAATTGGATTGGACTTGTGGAGCAGGGCTTCCGCTACGCGTGTCCTGGCGAAACATCGGGCCAAGTCAGCCAGCCAGCCGGTGAACCAGCCGCACCTCGCGCGCCCTGTAAATTTGGAATGGGAATGAAGAAAAGAAAGGGACCTGCCCCACCATTTATTCTCGCTAAATCCTGGGGAGGGGCCGGGCAGAGCAGGATATCTTCCACTAAACCGGTCGCGGCGGCAAAAGGGCGGGTTTCAAGGAGGGCGAAAATCTTTTGTTACGTTTGGACAGTGACAGAAAGCCCCTCAGATTGCTGCGGGAATATCGCATCTTTGTTCAAAAAAAGAAGAAAGTGGGGGACGGGGGGTTGGGGTGGGATAGGGGAAGGTTTGGGGGGTTAGACGTTCTTCTTTCCTCTTTTTTTTCCGTTGTCACATCTGAGAAATTTATGTCGTCCTCACCTCTGAACTCGGCGCGCAGTTCCGCCCAGCCTCCCCGGGTCCCTGAACCGGCGCGGGGGGTGCAGGTGAGGTGAGGGTGCTGCGACTGCTCTGTGCTGCGCGCGGGCCCCACAGATTTATCCCCCTCCCCTCCCCTCCCCACCCCCTCTCCTCTCCGAAGAGCTATACTTTTTAAGCGGGGCCATTCACTCTGGCTCGAGGCCGGCTTGTGGCCGGCCCCAGCATGGCTCCGGCATGGCTCCGGCACGGCTTGTGGCCGGCTCCGGGACAGCTTGTGGGTGGCTCCAGCACGGCTCCAGCACGAGCTCCAGCACGAGGTCTAGCACGAGCTCCAGCACGAGCTCCAGCGCGAGCTCCAGCACGAACTCCAGCACGAGCACGAGCTCCAGCACGAGCTCCAGCACGAGCTCCGGCACGGCCCCGCAGCACGAGCTCAGGCACCGGCTCCAGCACGAGCTCAGGCACGGCCCCAGCACGGCTCCGGCACGGCTCCGGCGCGGCTCCGGCACGGCTCCGGCACGGCTCCGGCACGGCTCCGGCACGGCTCCGGCACGGCTCCAGCACGGCTCCAGCACGAGCTCCAGCACGGCTCCAGCACGGCTCCAGCACGGCGGGGCCGTCGGGTCGGTCGGCAGTAATTGGCCTGAATCGAAATCACCTGTTAGCGGGTAGACGGAGAGGATGGGGGATTAGCGGGGCGGGCCGGGGCAGGCTGGGGCGTTGGGGTGGGGCTGCCGGGCGAGGCGGGCAAGCGGGCAAGCCTGCTATCGACAGGAAGATTCGTTGCATTTATTGGTCGGACTGGACGGTCGGCGTGCCGGGCGCGGCTGGCCGCAGCAGTCTGGCTGGGTGGCCGACCGCTCCCGCTCCCCCACCCTCCCTCCGCACACACATATTCGTACCGAATCTATTTCACGAACCGGCTGCTGGGCAGGGCCCTCCAAGTACGTTATTTCTTGTGCATACTCTCCTGTTTTTTCTCGCGAAAACCCTCTCCCCCCGCCCTCTTTCTCTCCGCCTCCCGGGCGGCGGTGTCTCGGGGCGGTCCGCTTAATAAATCAGAAATGCTTAGGGAGCCGCCTCTCGAACGCCAGTCACGTCCTCACAATGTGTCTGATAGTTTGAGACGGCATAAAGGAGTCTCGAGAAGTGGCCTGGCCGGGGCTTGCTCCTGCCCCCGCCACCCCTCACCCTAAATGGCGTCACAAGTTTCGAGACGCCAGTTTCTTTTCGTTTCCACCCCCACCCCCGTTGCACTCCCTGCTGCTGCCGCCGCCGTTGCTCCCCCTGGTCCCGCTTGGGGTAGTCCAGAGTCCAACTTTCAGCGGTCGTTCGGGGATATTCATGGCGGGGTTGTCGTCGCGGCTGAAAATTAAATTTTTCACCCTCTGCTAATAGTAAGTCTGGCATCGACAGCCCGTTGTCCTAGTTTGTATGGAGATCGGCGCGGCGGCGGCGGGCGCGGAGGTCCAAAACCCTCCCACTTAATATTCATTCTCAGCTGCTCTCGTCCCGCGCCCCGCGCCCGCTCCAAAACTTTCCCCCTTTTCTTCTTTCAAAATCACCCCCCCCCCCCCACCCCTCCCAACCCGTTTCCCCCAAACTCACCTGGGGCCTCACCAACTAACTTTTGGTCGTATTCTGACTGAAATGAGAGTCGCTCGGAATCTCGCCGTATTTCCTCCGGCGGTTTTCATTACAGCGAGTGACGCTGGATTGCTTTTGCAGCGTGTGCGGCGCGGCTGGGTGCGTCCCCCCCACCCCCCTGCTCCTCGTCCCCCAACCTCGTCACATTCCTGCCCCTACGTGCACGAGATGGGTATATATGCCCCCATATGCGCGCGAACACACAAACACAAAGCACACACATGCACGCGCGCGCGCGCACACGTACGCACACAGAGGCGTCGCTCGCGTCGACGGCGTCATTTTCCTAGTGTACACCATCAGCACCTGCAGTCAGAATTTTTCATCTCTGTTTCATGTGTGCGTGTCGCGGGGAGTTTGGGGGAGTGTAGACTCTGTTGTGTGTGCTAACTACGGCGTGGCTTTTCGTCTCTTCCCTTACTGCCCCCATTTGGGAGTTCGTTTAAAAAGTACAGCGGGTCTCTGGGACACACTTTCTTTGGTAGCTGGCGGTCCGGCAACGCACGCGCGGGGCTACTGTGAACTGCGGGGAGGGAACAGCCGAGGAACACCCCTCTCTTAAGTACTTCCCTCTCCCAGCCCAGCTCACACTGCACTGGGCCAGCGGAAACACCCGGCAGCCCTTTTCTCCTCACCACCACACCCGGGCGCGCTTGGGTTCGTTCCCCTTCATGTTTTCATCCCTCTTAATTTGTTGAAAGTTCTTTCCGTGTCTGCGACTTTTTGTGTAGCGGCGTGTCCAGCACGGCCGTGAACTGGGCTCGGGGGAACAGTTAGAGGGCGGCGCTGCTCCGCCGCTGCTGAAATGCATCAGAGATGCGCCGACAAAAAAAAGGAACAGACAACAACAACACCGAGT